ATTTCAACAGCCTTTGGTCTCAATATACCTATGAATTGACTGGTCTCTTTGTGAATTGTCATGATTTGATAAGAAAGAACTGCATTGTGCTTCTTTGTAATCTTGAGCTTAGTCTCTGGTGTTACTGTTCTGTCTTAAGTTCAGAAACTAAAGCATTTGGGGATGAAGAGGTCAAGGTGTAAAAGGAGTGAGGAGTGTGAGTTCTGTGAGGAGATTTTGGTTTTTAATCAAGCCCTTTTGGTTATTCTTAAGCAGGAATTTATATTAATAATTTTAGATGCTATTAACCTGATCATAATATCAAAGTAGCTTCCAAATACATTCTGAGTTCGGGGAATCCGTACCTGTCATTCACCCCATGTGACTCTGGCACAGTTTCTTCATATCAGGAGGTGTTAGAGTCTATTTTTACTCCTTGCTTCTCTGTGATTGTCTTTTCTTTCATTTGAAACTCATTTGCTTACATTCATATTTTTTAAGTCTAGTAAGTTTAAGTCATACCCTGGAATAGTCTCTCATCCTTGACACTGTGGTTAGATGTGTTTATTTTATTGATTTTTCTCTCTCAATTCAATCTTTGGTGGCCCCCCTCCCCACACCGCATACCCGCTTCTCAAGAGCTATTGAAATGAGATTTTCAAAATTTTGATTTGTTATGTTTTGTGAATGGCATCATCCCCCTGCTGGGGGATTTTGCTTGAAATCTGTTACAAGGACACAGATGGAGTTATATTTCCTGGGGGATGTTTGAAAAATAAATTAAAAATGGCAGTAGAGATGAATAGCTTTGTTTATCTCCTCACTCATGAGGATTTAAGTTTGTAACGTAATAAGTGGCTCCATTTGAAGTGCTCCTTCTGGAAGGGGTGATGATCCAGGCCTGTGTTTATGTGCCTCCTTTTAAATCCACCAGGTTCTCCTGCGCTGCCCAACAGCATGGTATATTTCGGAAGCTCTCAGGACGAGGAGGACGTCGAGGAGGAAGATGATGAGACAGAAGACGTCAAAACAGCCACCAACAACGCTTCATCTTCATGCCAGTCAACCCCCAGGAAAGGAAAAACCCACAAGCATGTTCACAACGGACATGGTAGGTCCACTGTTGAATCTGTGTTAAAGATAAGATCCAAAGCTTTGAGTGAAAGCTGGAATAGACCAGGTATTGAGAAGATGTTGAAGGCTGCGTGGCTGGTTGGTGGCAAAGCTAGTTTCGGATACTTAAGTGCCAGGCACTTAAAAACCAGAGAGATTGGTCCAGTCAGGTGTATTCCAGACAAGAGGACTGTTAGGATAGGCATGCACATTTTTATGTTTGTGGAGATGGTAAATTCGGGAGAGGAAAGCATCACATCTGAGCAGGGACAGTTAAGATGATCTCATCAAGAGGCTGTTGTGGTCAGCTTACTGTTGTGATTTACCAGGCGTAGACAGTGTGGGAGGGAAAGTGTTACCCACTCAGCATGTGAAATCAGGTAAATGCATATGTATTATGATTCTAGACTGATTTTTTTCCCCCATGAGTGTTGAGTGTGGGGGAGGATGTAACCCAGAAAGCAGGAGCAAAAAGTTGCATTTGAGAGAGAGAAAAGTGTAAATTAGTTGGCCATGGAACGTGCCCAGTGCTTTTTCAACAGGGAGGTGACTTAACAGGAGTTACCTTCTGAAAAGATGAAGCTGGCATTGATGATGAGAGTTTCATGAAGGGAAATGACTTGAACAAGAGGAAATGCATTGAAAGGCTGTAATTGTAGGCAGTTGCTTTGCCATAGGGAACAAGGGACCAAAACGTGGTTGTGGTGATGTAATAGGAAGACGTAAGAGCGAAAACCTGGAGGTAGATTGAGGAATACTGCAGGGGGCAGGGTTGAGACAACTTGATGATGGATTGGATTAGCATCGGGTAGGGGAAAGAAAGTGAGAGGAGAAAAGTGAGAGGAAAGAGGAGAGTTGAAGCAAGGGGAGAGATGATGGCATTTTTCTGTGAACTCTTCCCAGGTTCTCTGCTAGGAATCACATTTCCCTTGGGACTCATAGCGACCCTAGGAGGCAGAGTGTCCCTGTGCACAAATGGCAGAAAACCAGTGCTGGCAATAAGTGGTTGAGGCAAAGGAAAGCTGCTCATTTCTTATTTCTCCCCCTTGACGGTGCACTGAGCGACCACTTGTGTGTGTGTCTGGGCTCAGGGGGAAACGGAGATGCAGGCAGGCCTCGCGTAGAAGTGACGGCGCCTGCGTCTCGCCTGCACCGTCGTCGGGCAGTTCTGCCCTGTCAGTGGAGTGATTGTTCGCCTGTCCTGCGTCTTGCTGGGGGCTGTGTTCAGGTGGCATGGACACCTGGTAAAGACTGACCCCATTTCTAAGGACCTTACAGTCTATTAGGGAAATGAGGTTAATAATCCCAGTACGTAACTCTTTCTCAGCCTCGGGCTCCTCATCTGTAAAGCAGGGATTAAGTGAAGCATTTGTGTGGCCCCGTTGTTAGCCGTGTGTGTAGACATGTTCCCAGTTAAGTGGTGGCTTCTCTGATTTCATCTTACTAGGGGATCTCTCAGAAATCTTTGTGAGAGGGAGGTTGGAGGGCTGTTTTCCATGAGTAGGCAATAAAAATATGAGTGCTTTCAGAATGTGTTCACGTACATTGTCTCTTGATTCCGTCTGCAGCAGAGTCATTCAGAGGTGTCAGGGCAGGAGGGGTTTCTTGCCTTACAGTTGAAGAACTGGGAGATCTGATGTCTTGTACCCATCACCAAAAGTGGCAGATTGCAGCCAGGAGTCAAGAGTTTTGAAATGCCCCAACCCTGGGGACCATCCTGTTGTAAGGATGAGGGCGTGAACAGCTGTGCTTTGCGATGGGTAGAGTCTGTGCTGTGGTGGTGGAGTCACTGCTCTTGATCTGGTGGACAGTGTCAGAAGGCCAGCGCCACGGGCCACTGCCCGGGGTGGACAGCTCTGCTGGTGGGGTCTCCATGTTTGCTGTTGCCACGTGGCTTTCATGTCTTTGGAAGCCAGCCAGTAAAACCCCACAGGATGGCAGTGCTTCTGTGTGAGTCAGTGGAGGGAGTGGGCTGAAGCCAGCTCAGAAATGCACAGGCTGTTAGGAAAGCCCCTCCAATTTCAAGTGACCCAGAATTAGGTTGAAAAAGAGAAGTCAGCTTTGGAGAAGGGCGATTGCAGCCTCAGATTCACGGAGCGCTCAGTCCCTGGTCAGCTGAGCTTACTCACCTGCTCTGTTCTCCGTCTTCTGTTGTATGAAGAAGGCAGATGACAAGGAAATACACTGCCATAGGCAGTTTATTGAAACGAGACTCACTGATGCTGTGGATTGTGTGCCCCGGCGGGAGGATGTAAGGATATTCCTGAAGGTACAATTTCCAACAGCAGAGAAAGGAGTTACTGAATATTAGAAGCCCGTCAACCAAAAGTGGTGAAACTGAAATGTAGTCATCTTTGAAAACCGAACATTCAGCTATGGAATGTTGCTCCTTTCTCAACCACTCTCAGATAATTGAAACTGTATTGTAACACTAAGTTGCCCAACACACTTTGGTCTGTCTTTTTTTTTTTCCTGTTTGGATCCTATAAAGGTCGTTATCAGCATCGGCATCGAATAGTCATCAGGAGCTTCGTTTCCTGCCCCTCTTCAGGCTTAATTAGCTGTGTCTTCCTGGGTAGGCATTTATAGCTCTGATTCTTAATTTCCCCTTTTATGAAAAGAGCAGGATGGAGTGGGTGGGCACTCATCTGTTCTTCCTTCATTTACATCGCAGAATAAGGAGATAACTACTGTGTGTGTGTCGTGTGCAGGAATGTGTACCATTGAGACCTCCTGCCGTGGGTGATGGGCACTGCTGCGTGTTCAGCGGAAGTGGCTTTTCCAGGAGTACAGGGTTAGCTGGGGGAAGATCCCTAACTAAAATTTTGTTCCTGGAATCCTGCCCCCCCCCCCAAGACAGGAGTACCTTTTCCAGATTAAAAACATCAATATCCCACCCTGTTTACATCTCCTTCCCGTTCCCCTCTGTGCTTTGACTCCTTGCCCCTGTTACTGCCTGCTGGGGACTTGGCAGCTGCTGTCTCCTGCACAGTGTGAGGCAGTGGACCCAGGACTCCAGGGTTTACACAAGACTCCGCTGTACGGTCAGGCTGGGATCACTGAGGACTCTGTTTCCACTGTTAAAAAAACACATGTCAAACATTGGCGCAGTTCCCATGGCAGCTGAAAGTTGTCTCCCAGCTTTGTTCTTACTGAGACCCATTTGTTTGTAACTACAGAGCAGGATTCCGCGTAACGGGACTTCATTATGGGTAGCCATCAGTTATAAAAGCGGATGTTTGTTTACATGTGACATGCGACAGTGGAAGGAAACAGATATTCCTGAAGAGGATGCACTTGTAGCAAAGTTCTGTGTGTGAGGATAGAGGGTGTTGGCCTGGCACTGGGCCCGTGGCGTTGTGTGTTAACGCAGTGGATAGATGGTGAGTGTGCATGAGAACTGCTCGGGCTCAGCCGGCACCTGTTGCTGCCGCCGCCGCTGTGGTTTCTTCTGCCTGGAGTTCAGAGGGGGCCTCCTTTGGGTTCAGAAAATTGCACTTTTCCGGCTCAGGTCCTGAGGGCACCTGCAGGGTTCCTGGCTTGATTAGATTTGCAAGGCTCTGAGGCCGCCTTGCTTCCCGATGAACAGCAGGCTGGTTCAGGGTGCCCAAGCCGTGAGGCCGACCAGGTAGACCTACTGCTCCCGGGAATGGGTTGGAGGGCCTGCCGGGTGACACCTGCGGCATTGGGAGGCCAGTGGTGCTCTTGTCCTGCTTCTGTGCTCCTCCCAACCCTTCTCCAGCCCCCATCCCCGGGTTTTACAGGGCACTTGGTGACCGCGAGCAGGGAACCATGCCTGAGCTCTCTGCCTGGTGGAAAGAAGAGGTCGGGGACGGTTTGTGAACGAGATGAGTGTGTTCCTTTACCCGCCCTTGTCTTCAGTTTGATTGACTGATCCTTGCCCAGTTTTACTCCCTCGTTTTCCAAAAAGTGCAGTCCAGAGACTGATCATCTCTGTTTCCTTTTGGTTTCTGACTTGGGGGAAGATGTCCAAGTGTTAGATTTTCTAAGAGGACAAACCTGGGCGGGGCCATCATCACACTGTGGTCAAGCGGAATTGTGGACTTTTACACGTGAGAGAGCGGAAGGCAGGCTGATTTCTTTGTTCTTCGTGACACGGGAGTTCTGTTGTCAGGTGGGGCCTTTCCCTCCCTCGTATGCTGGGGGCGCCGAGGGTGTGGGGAAATCCAGCAGCACCTGAACCCTCCCCAGGAGTGTCACCTGCACTGAAATGTGGGGAAATAAATGCACAGAAGACAAAATGTGGAAAACTAGCGCTTTACTGCTGGGGTAGTAGCTTTGGCCCAGATCCCTGATCTGGCTGCACACCCAGGAAAACTGTTTTATTTAGGCTGTGTTAGCTTGAAGAAACCAGAACCCAAGCTGCGGATGGCGTCTTGCTTTCTCATTTCTCTCCTAAACTTGAGCGTGAGTGAAGCAGTGGGTTCCCTCCGGAGTAGGAGCCTGGTTTACGGAAGCAGGTGCCAGTAGAGGGGGCTCGCTCCCACCTGCGCGCAATGCCGGGCCGCCGGGGTCCAGCGGGGCCTGGCTGGGGCAGTGCTCCTTGTCCCCAGAGGAGGAGCCACAACCCCAACAGTCTCCCGCAAGAGCCTGGTGTCCCCGGGCAGACTTTCAGTTTCGCAAACATTACACAGGACTCAAATGTTCTCATTGTAATCCACTGAGTGTCCGCATGGAAATGGATGTGTTTATTAAAATACATAATCTGAAATGACATGGACAGCGTCATGCGTGCTTTTAACCTTGAGTTAACACTCAAGGGTTACAATAACAGTGCCTCCAGCAGCTTCTATTTCGATAGCTGTTCAGAGCTTCCAAAATACTCTCATGTACACAGAACCTCCAATGGTCCTAACAGTAGGGCCCTTAGGTAATCTCTGTGGCCACAAAATAACACAATCAGAACGCGGCTCTGTGGGTATTCATGTTACAAGCTGATATTTGAAATGGCCTGGTTTTTGAGAAGTTCTCAGCATT